CTCTCACTCTTTCTCCTGCAAGTTTTTGGAGACACACACACACACACACACAGACAGTTAGAAAATTTCAGCTGGGAACCTGGTTGGTGTATCAACCCTAAATGCATTTAAAGTGGCATTTCTGTTACATAGATTCTCCTTCTCTTCCTTACTTTTCTATGCTTGTTCTTTATAATCGGTTGGAGACCAAGCCACATATTTTTATGTGATACCTTCTCCCATCTCTTCTACATTTAATCAGACCTTCAGTTCAGTCCCTGCCAAGGCTGTGCAGTTTGCTCCTTTAATGTGACTGCCCCCATTTTATACCAGACTTGTTGCTTCCTGTAATAGTACCCGAAAGCGGCCTTATCACCCATTCCCATCCTGCCTACCTCTCCATCCCATCCCCCTACCTCTTACTTGGATTGAATTGGCTCTAACGTACAATTTAGAGCATGTATGTGTTGGCAGGTGAAGTTTATTGTCTGAAAAGTAAGAATCTGACATGCAGATTTAGGTATCCGAAGCATAGAAGTAATAATAAAGGCTCTGTGTATAGGAGATGGCCCAGAATATTCCAACTGTTTCACTTATTCTCATTGTGTACTTATTACAACCCAGAATTCATCACCAATTAGAATCTGACTTTATAGCTTTTCATTCTTACATTCCCCCACTCCATCTCTTCACATAGCTGATACCTCTAGCCAGACTTCATTTATTCACACATCAGTTTCATGTGTTAAACATCTGGTATGGGGGCTAATAATGGATTTAATTCTCTTCTTTAAACATAAACAATACCTTTTCCCCATCTGATGGCTTTGCTTTGTGTGGCTATATTGTCCTTCTCCCTTTCTATGTCACACAAAATTGTATTCATTCTTAAAAGCCCAGCTTAAATGTGTGTGTGGTGTGTCTGTGTGTCTGTGTCTTCGTGTCTTCAAGGACATGCTAAGCATTAAAACTACCGATTCCTGGACTTGACCCTAGACTTGCTGAATCATAGCCTCAAGAGGTGAAGCCCAAGAACCTGTACTTTTGGGCGTCTCTGCAGGTGATGTGACGCTCTGTGATTGGGGAGGTACTGGACAAGATTCCCAGGCATTTTGATGGTAGGTGATATGTAGCAGCGAGGACAGGCAAACAGTGTCAGAGGGGTCCTGAAAAGGGAAGCAGGTGTTTCCCTGGTGGGTGGGCAGCAGATCATAGCTACACAGAGTCTGAGAGAAGGAAATATGTTCAAATCCAGGCAGGTGGTCTGCATCAGGGTGGTCTAGTACCAGGTAAAATGGTCGTGATCGTTGGACGGGTGCTAAACCTTAGAGAGCTGGGAACAAAAGACAGGGCAGTAATTCTGAGATAAATGAGAGGATCAGGACTCAGAAAACAAGGCAGACTCGTTCATAATGAGTCCACTTGTACTCAGGGTGACTGCATAGTCACGGGCATGAAGCAGAAGTTCAGTTAGTAGAACTGAGACACATAATCAAAGTAGTGATATGTACTTGATGTAGAACCACCTGAACTTGAGGTACAGGTTGGGGGAAAAAAATCCTTTAATTAAGGATTTGAATTGGATCTTAACTCAGGATTAAAAGACCACATGAGTGAAGGTTGGAGGGATTCTAAATCAATGAATTAGGCAGATTTAGACGTATTGCAGTATGTACTGTGTACTTCCTCACTGTTAAAGACAAATGTTTCTCAAAGTTTGGACTTGTGACTCCCTGCATGAGAATATACATCCCTGAGGTCCTGCTCCAGCCGACGGAATCAGGACTGGAAAATACAACTCACAAATCTTCACTTAAACAGAATATGTGGGTGAGACAGTACTGACTTTTGAGAACCACTCTATTCCACTGTAAACTCTCTGTTTGTGGGGACTGTGTCTTATTTATTGTCTTGTGCTCACAGTTCCTAGCGGAGAGGCTTGGGCATTCTAGGCACTGAAATTTTTGTAGAAGAGAGAAATGATTTGTTGTCTCATGAAATTCGTAATTTTTCATAAGGGTTTTATTTCACTGCAATATCTTATTTCCACATTTCCCTCAGGCAAAATTTATAGATATTTTCTCTAGGCAAATGGAAAAGTTTTCTCAGTTAAGGAGGGTCATCAAAGAAAACGTATTAATTGCTACGTCAGAACTGCTGAAGTAATTTCTTTCTCTTTAAAATTAGTTTGCAGGTCTAGTAGGTAATTATATTTATGATTACAGTATTTATTAGGTAAGTACTTTGCTTTTGTCTGGGTTCACATGAATTGTCTGTTGATGAGATATTAGTAAGACCTGGAAATTCACTGTTCAGAATGGAAGCAGTTTTATAGCTGTTGCAAACTTCTAATTTATGGTGGTCTAAGATTAGTCACAGTGTAAAGTCAGCTCTGAGTCGCTGACTCTGTACTTGTTTTGGACATAAAGTGAAATCAAATTGAGCTCCCTCCCTTACTGCCTGGTGTCTGACCTTAGCACTCCTTTCGGGGATTATTGGCTATTTTTCTCAGTGTAAACTTGGTCATATCTGGGCACAGTTAAACATGCATCTTGATGATTGAATTTATGAGGAGATTAGTGTTTGGGGTCTCAACTGGTTCTGTTGTCGCAAATACATTGGAATAGGGCAAATATAGGTAAAGGCCCCCAAACATGGTCATTTTAACGACATTTTTTGTCCAAATACATTATATATGCCAGTAAAAATATTATAGAAAGTTCATGTACAGGCAAGACCACTTTTATAATCTCAAATGAGTTCAAAATGTATGTACTTATTCATATTTTCAAATCTTAGTAAATGTGGTGATTTAGTATTGAGTTTGAAAACTTACTCCTTTTTTCTGGAAGATAATTTTACAGTTTGGATTTATTTAAAGCTCTTCCAAGTTCTGTCATTTAGAATCAAAAGAGGGAAATACACTGTATCTCTTGGGTGCCCAGCACTTAATTGAGGGAGAGTGAAGAATGCGGTCGTGGCTTTTAGGAGTGTTCTTTTCGGCAGTGATTTCTTTATTAGCTTTTTGTCCCAGAGGAGGTATCAGGCACCTGGAGGAACCCCTGGGAAGTCCACTGAGCTCGCAAATATGTTAATGGCTCAGGATTGAATGAGAGTGTGCTTAATTTCCCTGTTATTTTTTTCCCCCTTCTGCTCTTGGTTCTTTCAAATATCCCTGTATAGTTTGATAGCATATATGTCAACTCTTAATCCCCTTCTGCAAAGCCATGACCACCATTCCCCTAAGAACTATTAAAGAAATGTATTTGATATGTACTTTATTTGGATCCCTATTTTGTGGGCTTCTCTGCACAGTGCAGATTACTGGGCAAGGTGTGATTCTGACTAAATCTGATTTCCATTTACCAACTTCTTAAAAAAATAAAATATTTCTATCATTTATAAGAACTCGGACCATTCTTAAAAGTACCATTTACTAGATTGAATGTGAGTGGTTCAAAGTGTTTCTCAAGGTTGCAAATTAATGTACTGATTCAAAAGTTCTACCTTTTTCCTCTGTCTGCATCCCACTGACGTGGCTCTCCTCAGTCGAGATGTCAAGTCAAACACGCAGGAAAGGTGTGTGATCCCGTTTGTTCTTAAGCAAGTGAATTGACACATTTGAGTTACCAGGCAGTCATTGCTGAAAGCACAAAAGCCATTTTAGTTGCCTATTCACAGATCAGAGAGAAATAGCTATTTGCATCGCTATTATAATTGAAATTCAAGTGGCTCACAAAATATATTTCATACCA